GCGTGTTCCGCCGCGTCACATCACTAATCACCAGCCCTGTGCTTTCCTGTCCCAGCGACGTTTAACCTTTCAGTGGCGGGTGAGGTTGGGGATGGGACGTGACACCGTTCCACGCACACACACACGACCGCAGCCACGTGGCGTTCGGTTTGCGGCGGGAAGGGTGGGTGAGTGACTGTTGCAGTCACTCATCGTTTCTCAATGTAAACAGGCAGACCGAAGTGTCGTTGACACCTGAGGGCAGATTCACCGTAGGGATTACACAACGGGGCATTTTGCCTAGGGAGGTTTCATCTTCGAAGCACCCTCCTCTCCACAATTATCGCCAGGTGTCGATGAGATCACCGGCGGGTGTGATAGGCCTTTAATCGACCTCTTGGTGCCAATAGGTTGGCCGCACTAAGCTGAACATAATGAATTTAATCATGAAAATTTTCATGAGGACGTTAACTGACAAGTCGGTTACATGGTGGACTTAAGGAGAAGGTTTTTATTGCCTTCCATCTATTATAAATCCTGTTAAACTTACACATAAAGCAAAAAAGCTTTACGAAGAAAGGTAGTATCAAATAAAGCAACTCTATAGTCCCAGTCAATAGATGTTGGTTACCAAACATGAAGCCGCTTCCGATAGGGTGGGCGGAGGTGACTGCTCCAGACTGGCGAAGAACGAAATAGATCTGTAGAATTAGCTAACTTCCTGCCGAATCGCACATTGACATGAACTCTACTCAGTCATAAGTAATCTCAAAATCAAAAGCATTATCGACTCATGTTGAATTTTGGTTAACAATGCGAAACTCAAACTGGGGTGCAGCTTCTTTGGTTCTGGTCCCATGTGCTTCATAGCCAACTACGAACACTCTAACCCAAATGTCACCCAAAGCGCTGTGTTTATGCAACACTAATCATGTAGCCCGTGGTTTCCCGACCTGGAAATATTCACCCCCTTCTAGGGTGGGCGGGAGGGGGGACGGACGACGTGTACATCACCACCACCACCACCGCTCGCACATGACACCATTAAACACGCGACCGTAAAGTGCTGCTGCAGCTGCGGCCGCTGTGTGACATTTCTTTTGCGGCTAAAGCGTGGCTGTTGCCACGGCCCGATAATGTAAACACACTCAAACACACACCAACGCCATGAACGAGCCGTAGTTCTGATTTTTTTTCCACGGACGACATTATTCAACCGCCAACTCAGATGAAACCTCAGATGTTACCTCTTGCTTGAACATTCAACAGGCAAAAGTGTGGTCGGAGCAAAACTCACTTCAACAATCACTTTTGGTGATTATTGAGATGCCTCTCCCATCGCTAGTCCACAGTGCTACAGCCAGAGATTAAAACTGTGCTCAAGTGGATAAAGGGCCCAACCCAAGTGATCCAAGAATATGAGCCTGGCCAGGAACCGAAATCTAAGAGCGTTCACTATGGTCTTAGACCGGTGAAGGCGATTGTGCTCGCAGGATCTCCAAGAGATTTGACCATAAATCGTGAAAATGCCAAACCAAATGTTCTTTGTAGGATCACTGTTAAGGTAGAACAGGGTTTTCATTTCGACTTATAAAAAAAACACTTTAAGCCCTGGTGGTCACATCGCCCGCCTTACCAACGCAAATGACACCCGCGTGTGGTTAACAAATGCAAAACATTGGTAGAATCGACTGGCTATCAACCACAAGCTGTTTGGAACCTGAAATACAGTCGGAAATAGACAAATATGTTCGCTAAGTAAATGGTAGCTTGGAGTAAGCAACCAAGTACAAATAGTCATTAGGAATCCGTGGCCGAGCAATTGGTAAACGTAAATGTGAATTTTTCATGTGAGTTAAGGTAAACATTATATAACAGGAAGAATTAATTATAATTTCCGAGCGCCAAACTATTTCACCAAGCAGGGTCGCGGAAGAAAGAAAAGAAACAAGAAAATGTGCAGGAGAGAAGAAGAAGAAGAAGAAGGGTGGGAGAGAGGCAGTGCCTTGCATGTGTGGAATTATGCATTTTATTTTATCTGCCTGTATGTCGGTGGGTTGAGCATGAACGTGTGGGTCTGTAGGCGACCAGGACGCACGCGATTTCCCGGTTCGCATTTCCCCACCCAAATGTACCTGTTGTAGTGGCGGGCCCACAAAAGCCATTTTTGTGTCCCCTCACGTGCGTAGTCCGTTTTTCCAGGCGCAACATTTAAATAATGCACACGTACATACACGAAAGGGTGGATGCATGTGTGCTTTTGAAGAAGCTGCGAGAAATTGTAGCATTTCCTCACGCAATTGCAGTCCCCACACCCCATGCTTCCCCGCGGTGAAACTGGAGATTCTAGACGAATCTGGCCACATTTCATCAACAAATGTGAAGACTTGTTGATACGACCTATTGAGCCAATATAATATTAACTGCTCGTCCAATGTGGCAAAACCACTGACACATGAATGTTCTGTGTTGACATCAAGTGGAGTGCACAAGGGAGCAGATTTTCATATTGATTGCCACGTTAAAGCATGCCTTCTTAGATGATTCCTCGTTGCATATTTACAGGTTTTACTATATTTTACTCACCTTGCTTGCTTGGTCATATAGGGAAGGTACACTTTCTTTTACTAACTCCTACCATGCCCCACTCATCAGCTTTCGTTAAAAGATCACATACAGGCAGCAATTAGGAGATCAAAGTCACTGCTAATTAAGGAATTATGCATCAGACGTGCTTTAAATGGGAGAGGACCCAGTCAAATCACCTTATTGGACAAGTTATATGCACGACACTTCTAATTACAAACATCAATAAAGTTCCCGCCGCCGTAGATAACCACTAATTAATCACACCCCAGTTTAAGTATCATTCGAGAGTGCAAACACATCAATTTTTTTGAAACGGTCTGAATGGAAAGGGGAGAGAAGGGACATTCGTTAATGACTGCCGAGCCGCCAGTCATCGAAACCCTTCAGCACGTGCTTGGATGGCGTACTTTTCCCCAAACCGCCAATATATCTAGCTCCACTTAAACAAATCTTCCCGCCCTTCCTCCAATCGATTCTAATCAGTACGCCAGACTGGATTAAAACGCAGTGGTGGAGGTGGGATGACACGAACACGTGTTCACGGGAATCAAGACGCCGAGGGGGAGGAGTTCGAAGTTCTTCGGGGGTCCCACGCCAACTGACAGCCAGGGAGGTTATTAAGGGGAAGGCACATGAACGTGCGCTGGGTAGGACATTTTGATATAAAAATTTTGGTGACGAGTGCGCGCGTATGGCCGTAAAGACTGGCAGCAGCAGCAGCAGGTTAAAATTCCAAGCAAAAGGCGAAAGAAGGAGGCACCTAAGGAGCTGGGGTAGCCACACGCGCGCTGATTCAGCGCTCGCCGCGTGACGTGATGACCAAATCGTCGTGAGGATGGTCAGGCCGGAGTAGCATCTTTTTCGTCTCCGGTTCGTTTATACAGCCTTTCTAATCGTAGCCACAGAAACAGAGGTGAAAAAATAACTATATTTTACATTCCTGCGTGCCTGTGGGTGTTATCGGGTTACAACAAAGCACCAGCTCGTGGCTTGTGTTGGGACACACCGCAAACTTTTCCATAAAGGTGACTAAGTGGTTGTCTGGGTGTAACACGGGCACATTCGCCCTCCTTTACGCTTGTAATTTTTTTTCGCACTGGGACACTGTCATCAACTGCTTTAAACTAGCATCTACAAACCGATATTTCGAGGAATAGCTACAGACCTGGACACGCCTTTGTGCCCAGCTGATGCCATCCGAGGGTCCAACGACTTCTCCGAGTTGGTGAATCGGAAATGCAACTGGCGAAGACTGTGACACCCATCCTTACAAATTCCCTTCGGCAATACCTGTGATCGGACTCAACTGAGCCACAACTTTCTACGGGATTCACTCGCTTATTTTTCCCATCGATAATTGGTCAGCGAAAACTTCAAGTTCCTGACCCCAATACTGTGGAACTTGAAGCACAGGATTGCAAGTCCCAGGTTGTTAAGGTGATAGTTTTAGAAAATCTTCCCAGTGCACTGGCAATCGTTATTAAGTGGATGAACCGGATTGTTAACAATTTGCAGTTGCGTTGCACCATTCACAATGAGTCACCATCTCATGCATCAACACAGGACCCCCTTCCAAAGTGGATAGGCATATGGTAGGACGCGCGGGCGTATTTAAGAGATACACCATGCATATCTTTATCATCTTTTCATCCCGTCTTCCACCTACTACCATGCGCCACAATTATAATTTTGTCTCTTCCGGTTTAATTTGGCGCAGAGGGAGAGGGGGATCGCGGCAGATGGTCTCGTGGTCCGGCCAGATGCGTCGGTTAGTAACGATGTGTGTGTGTGTGTTTGTGTGTGTGTAAGCAATACAAATTAAAATGCCCAGGGGTTAATGGTGTGGACAACCACCAACGCCGACCACAGTACAGTACCGAAAGCAGAACTGAGTCGGCTACGGACCATGGAATTCGGGCGGCTTCTCAGCTTGGTGCTCAGCGTGGTCATGGTTGTGGTGGTGTACCGAATGAGATTCTTTATGGCACTTTATACCATTCGCGTACGTTGACAACAACTTAGCAAAAAATGACGCAGCCTTGGCAGATACAAGGCCTTAAAGAGAAGAAAAAAAAAGATCAAAACGGCGGGATCCTCAAATTGGCGCGCTGATTGTCAACACCTTGTGGTTAGGCAACATTCACTGGAGATGGTGGTAAGCTAAAATACCAGATGGAATGAATTTGCCTCTTAAAGTGTTCTGAAGGCATTAAAATTAATAACATGATGCAGCAAAGTACTAATTGGATTTGATCGGGGCGGTAAAACAGCGTCGCTCCTGCTGGGGTCTTGGCGCTTATGCGAAGACGGTCACCCTAAGTGGCCAGACAGGGAGGCGCTGTGTGTGCAGAAACACCGCACCTCCAAAGCCGCAGCCGGGATTTGTGGGGCGCTTGGCCTGTGCAAATTGCTATTAAGCACCAGATCAAAATATGTCAGCTGACGGCACACGGGTGGACCTTGCAAATCACACAGCGACAATCGAGGTGACGTGTGCAGCGCCAAGTGTACGCGTGCCCACCGAAGGTATTAAGTTATTGACAAACTTATGTGCGTATCTTTCGATGGACGGCTACAAACAAGTGGTTGCGATTTTGTTCCATACTGCTTGTTGTTAATGCAAGAACGACGCCTAACCTAATCGACACCAACGTCATCGGTGTGAGAATGAGTGGCAGGCAGGCCTAAAGGACTGGCTGTTTATCCTGCTTGTGGTTTTCGGCGCTTTTAAACCGAAACCACAGGCGCCGAACAGCCATGGCACCACTAGTCAACGAAACCTCACATCGAGCAAAACGTAAACAGCCACCGAACTCACTATCAGCTTGTCACCGCAGTCCAGGTGGAAACAAATTAACTATGGTTTATTTGTGTTTAACCACCAACAACGGATTCGTGCATATTTTAGCTGCAGCGAACCGAGCTCTTAAAGCGGAACGGGAAAAGACTCTCTCGACCGTGCATGATAGACTGATTCGCTCCTACGGAAGTTCTCGCCTGGCTCAGCCCCTGATCGATCGAGCTCACCGACTCCTCGAATCCTCCAACAAGAGGAACCCCCTCAAACGCAGTTTTAAAGCGACCGGAGATCACTACGACGATTCCACCGGCTTAGCCGGTGAGTTGAAACTTAAAGTGACCGGAACGGCTTATGAACCGTTCAGCTATTTGGTGACCGCATAGATAGCATGACATCTCTCAATAGTTTTGGTTGCATTTGCCAAATAATGTATCCAAACGGTGTAGTGTAGTCGAACAAGTGCTTTAAAATCAGCCAACTTGTTCTAGCTTATGAAATCGCATTAGTAAACAATCTTGTGGCCTAAAGAGACTGACCAAGTAAGCTCCAAATTCAGACCACACGTACCCGAGACAAGCATGACACCACTAATCTACCAAGGATTTCACAGTGACGCAACAGCTTCAGCAGTTTGGTGGCACATGAAGTCAAGGTCGTTGTCATGCCGATTTCAACTGTTGCATTTGTAGGAGGCCAGAACATGCAGTAATGTTCAATATTTTTCAGTTTCATGCAAGCGTTCGTCCCAGTCACTTCCACAGAAGCCACCGCAGCTCCCGCCTCTTCCCACATTCCCGACCAAAGAGGATCTTCTTCGAAACCCCATGTTTCAATCACTGCCCCCTCCTCATCCCACAATATTTGACGTCAAGCCACCGCCGCCATCCGCATCACTCGATCTTCGATTTAGCTTCCCTTCGCAACCTACACCGCCCAGTTTCTCAATGCCAAGTCTGCTGTCTCGGACTCCCCCGAAGCCACCACCTCCTGTGAGCACCATGTCGAGTCTGATTGGTGCGCTGGCGGCCTCGCTGGGCGTCAACACCACTGCCGTCTCCCCACAGATGAACATTGCTCAGGATTTGTCTTTAAACAGTCGAGATGAGACACCTCCCCCTCCGCCACCAAAAAAACCCACCAACAACACCAGTATACTGAGTGTGGAAAGGCTGTTGAGCGGTACTCATCTACCCGCCTCCTCACCAGACAAGAGACAGGAGAGTCAGGCGTCCCCATCATCCACGTCCTCCGCCTCCTCAGCTGCGATTTCACCGAAACTAACCACCCAACAACCGCCGATGCCGGTTCCGCTGACTTCGTCTTTTGACACGGCTTCGGTTTTATTTAAAAACCTCCTTGCCGTGGCATCGGGTTCGTCGTCCCCGCAACCACCAATGCCACACCGCGGCTTCATCCCCCCTCCGCCGTTGACGTGGATGAAACTGCTTCACAACGGTGGCGGCCTTCACCGACCGCCCGAGGGGGCCCCGGCAGGCAACGGAGCGGCCCTCATGATGAGCAGACTCTTCGGCGGCGGCGGTGGTGCAGGCTTTTGAGGCGGCAAAGCAAGAGAATATTCCAAATGTGCATTTACTACAACATTAAATCCACAAACTCATAAATAAAATTTGCATTATTTTAGGCTAATTTCTAAGAAAGAAAGACAGGTGTGTGGGTGGTATTCGAGAAGGTGTAATCGGTAACAAAACTTAAGCAGCACTACAAATCCGACTTGGCCTGTGTACAAGTGTTTGCCGAACCTCAGGGCTTCACACGCTTGATGGAAAATGAAGGCAGGGCGTCTGCTGCTGCTTTTAAAGGAAAGAGGGGTGCTGTCAACTCGTGGGCAACAAAGCATACAACCTACTTCGGGTATTATATAAGAGTACCTTCGCAGGTAGCATAGGAACCCCATGGATTGATTCAACACCTCGATAACAGGGAATCATACATGGCTGCAGATGACTAAATCTTGTCGACATAATTGCAGTGTCTCAAACACGTGGTTAAATCGACATAGGATCTTCAATGCAGAGGGACTTAGTAGATTGCGTTGCCTCTCCAATCTGAGTTTAAACTGCAGATAAGGCGATATCTATGATTAATCTGTTGCGATAGGACATAAAGTTTTTAGGTTGACTTTTAAGAGACAATATTTCCTAACCCAAAACATCGCTGAGTATCCCTGAATTCGGAATAGTGGGATTCCAAATGTTGACTTGTAATGCATATATACAAATACATTTAGAGGGCATCTATTCACAAACTACAAATTATGGACCGGGAGAAGAAAGTTCCCGGAGGTTGTACTTGGCGAATTCATGGAATTTTTCAAGGAAACTCAGGCAAATTACATTGCGGAGAACATCAACACTGATGACCAAGTCTGCACCCGCGCAGACCGGTGACCAATCGGGTGCGACTTCGTGCAGTGCTGCGATGACAGCCATCACTGCATCGGACTTTGCCAACTTGTCATAGTGTCTGGCGCGAAAGTTTACAGTAAAGTAGTTTGTTCGTTTCCCACCATTCTCCAATGGAACCTTCGCGAGGAATTTCGCCCGCTGAAGAGGTACCCCGGAACAGAGAGAACACAGGGGCTTTTTGTCTTCCCAAGCGTCAGCACCGTTCCAGAAGGCTGTCCAGGCCTTGCGGACCAGCGCCTTGAGGTCGCCTTCGTTCGGCTTGCAAGTCGCACAAACAGGCTGGAATCGGAGAATGCGTCGAGAGTTGGGCTCGCCACTTTCGATCACATGACGAAACACCTCGTGCACCAGGTCTGCTGAAGAGCTCTTGGGAGACTGATTGAGCACGAAGACACAATTCGAAACACCAGTCTTGACACCGTTGAAAATGAACTTGGCGGCGGTTGCGGAAATCATTTCTTTTCGCATCAGTGACACAATGTCACTGCTTTCTTCCGCATCATTGCCATCGGGCTCCGCATCTTCAGTTTTCTCAACCGGAGCTTTTCCATTAAGGCGTTCATGGGCTTCGTTTAGCAGCCTGAAGGCCTCAATCAGGGCTTGTCGTTCCTCCTTATTGCTAGCACTTAGGAGAATTCCCGTCATCCCGGGCTCAAGGTGCTTGATAGGACGAGCACTGACATCAGCATCGCCGGAGATTTCGAGGAGTCGTTGCTTTGCCTTCCTTTCCCCAGCTGCGCAACGACGGTAAAAGGCCTTGCGTTTGTGTTTAGATTTAGGATCCATAACTGCAATCACAGAATAAAGACTACCTTAACAAAATAAGTAAAAAAGTTATCCACGCATTCAAAGCACAGAAGAACAGTGTCTCGGGACCAAAGCAATGACTGAATTCTTTATAACTCGAAGCATTTATTTTTATGTACCTTGTACCACGTATTCAGATATGCACTGTGATCACATTTTAACCACGGAAACGCGAGTAACAAGTACGAAATTCTTTACCAGAGGGCGATGCTGACAAGAATTTGGGTTATATAGATAGTCGCGAGGACTCGGCGAAAAGGCTCCGCGTGAAAGCATGAATCTACGCGCCGAAACATCGAGATTTAATAATAAAGCACTTTTTACTTACAAAACCCGAGTATACTGTAGCTTGACATCGCCGAACGAGGTTATACCAAGAAAGCGTTTAACTAGGAAACAATTTCAACAGAAGCTTCGCCACTTTAGGGAACTTGTGCGCAGAGACGATGAGCACGCATTCAAATCAAACGCTGATAGAGGAGTAGGGTAAACAAGATGGAAAAGCACGGCCAAATAACTATGGTAGATATTGCGATTTAAACGAGTGAAAACCAGCGGGGTGGGGTGGGACAGTTTAGGGGTCAAAAGCGAGTGGGTTCAACTGCAGACAAGCCCATAGACTTTTCCATGGATTCAATGCAATGACTAATCTTCATCAATTTGCAGGCTGGGTTAGGTTGTAAGCAAGGAAACGCGCACAAGACGGCGTGCAATTTAGACACCCCTGAACTGGGTGTTCGGGCCATAACACAACGCTAGATGCGACAAGAGCAAAAGCAAATAAATAGACAGCATAAGCAAGATGAGCAGCAATATTTGTTGGTAGCTGCAAACATTACTGAAAATTTTCTGCGACAGTAACTAGTACCTTGCACTTGACCAGGCCATCGGTTGCGTGGTTCGAGCAGTTGAAAGGACATGAAAACAAAATTGCATCACCTGTGAAGTCTTACGAAGTAAGCGAGCGACTTGAACGAGATAGGAACTGAAATTTCATTTAATTGACATCCAACGCAACAATAGCGAACCACGCACCATTGCGAATTTAAATGCCCAGCACAATGGCGAGATGTCTTCACTAGGTGACCATTAAAACGGTTCGTGAGGGTGCTTCAATGGAAGGCACACCATGAATTACAAGAGCAGCGAGGAGGCCGGTAGGATGACGCTTCGATATGTGAATTCATCGTTTTTGGGACTGGCCGAGGTGCTACACAACATCGCACGTGACATTCCAGACGGCCTAGGGTAGTCTTCAAGTGTAGTTACGAAGTTAAAAAGACAGGGGTACTCGACGCCTTTCGAAAATATTCGCCAGTTCAACCTCAAACAACCAATTTATGGTTGTCTCTAGAGTTTGACAAAACTGCGATAAATTGGCTGTAGGCGTCGTGGATTTAACCAGATAAATTGTGTGAATTATCTAAATCGCGGGTTGATTCAGTGTAATTTCCCATACTATTTGGTTAGACAGCTTGAATTTCTACACCATTTGCTAACTTGACAGATCTAACTCAGTTCACGCGCATCTCTGATGGCGAAACATTTTGCGTCCATTTTCTGCTAAAACCACGATATAATTTTGTAAGACGTGCTTGAACTCAAGCCTGATTGCAACCAATTAGCTAACAGACGTCAATGGACAGGACTAAACAGCGGGCCTGGATAGAATTCGACACGGGCACTGAATTCGCACCTTAAACGGTGGTTCGCCCTTAAATTCTCATTTTGTTATCAATCCTCTTCAAAGACACCTTCTAAAATACAACTAAAATTCTTGGTCAAGTAGAGCCACGAACTTGGAGAACACCTAGGCTAGGAAAATGAAGAAAAGTAGATTTGAGGGGAAATCTAGATATCATACTTAAACTCACGAAAAGCAAGGATTAACACCCTAAATCGACATCCTAACCACAAAAAAATGATCAACACAGCAAGAACCAAAAAGTAAATTATGCAACAGTTCTTTATTAGCTAGGCAGCAGAGGCACAACCACAAATCCTAATAGGAAACAATATGAAAGGGGCAGTGACCACAAGTCGGCCTCAAGGAACAACGACATGGTGCTGCCACTTCCCTCTACCTAAAATGGCACTGGGCATAGTTTCCAACGATATGCACTGGGACGGAGTGAAGGAGATCTGCATTACTTTCTTCTCATTGAGATGAAAGCACAAGGAGAGGGGAATCATCCGTGGTTTCAGGTGGCGCTTCCTTCGAGGGGGAACCGACAACGGCGCTAAATTTCGTTGGTTGGCAAGTGCTAGCCGCAGCCAGCTTGATCTCGGTGAGGATTTCAGCGGCTCCGGCGGCGTAGAGGCGGTCGGCGAGCTCCTCGCCAAGGCGTCTGGCCCGAGCCATTCGGAGACGCGCAACCCGGCAGATTGGCGCGACGTGCACGCCCAGGAAGACCGACTTATCGTCCTCGGCGCTGGCTTCCTCGAACTAAATAACACCAGACCAAAACCACTCAGGCACCTTGACAAAAAATAAACAGTGTGGTGCCGATAGGGGTCTTCTGGAAATCCAGCAAATGCCTCCACAAAGACGATTCGGAGTCATTCTTTTAGATTAAATGAAGGGAATTGAAAGTTATTGTGTGACACGGGAGGGTCCACTTCTGAATTGTTATGAATGCTAGCGCATTGTGTATCCTTGAAGACCCTTTACTTGACGAATTCTTAGCGTCAAATCTCGAAATTCGTAACAAGCTAAGCGCCAATTCACATGCGAATTCCTCAATAACGGCATTTTACGGGAGGAGATTTATAAATGCGACATAATGTTAAAACTCACGTGACACTGCACTGAAAAGTGTTGGCTTATTGAAAGTGCTAGGAGTGAGGTATTCCCACAAATTGAACCCTAGGGAGAAATTACTTCAACAAAATGGATCTTTATTCGACCAAATTCGCATGCTTATCCAATAATGTGGCAAAGCGAGTGACCATAAATGCGACAAGTTGTGTTCCTAGGTCGTAACTTTGATGCTGCTGCGCGGAGTGTAATTTCGACAAAAACAAAGCACTTGAGATTAACTAATTCGTCTAACTGGCACAAGGGGACTATTTTTGCATACATCAAGTAAACGTTTACAAAGCAAGTTATGCAAATGGCTGTTTCGTGGCTAATAAAATAGCGTGCTCCCAGCAAAAGCACCCCGACAAAAATTTAGAATATCGAAAAATGCAAGTCAAAGTAAAGGTATTTTACTTATTTTAAACTAGATTAACCATTCAAGTAAAGGATAAAAACATTAATTTCGGAGGCACGGCCAATGCACAGTCGCAATGGTGCTACAATCCTTTGTGGTGGCGGATTACAGGAGCAATTTGCTAAAGGTAAATTAATGAGCTGTCAACTGTACAATACATGAAAACTTATCCAAGTAATGCATTTGCCGCCAAATGCTTGAAGGCTGGCGAAAACAAGGACTGCGTGCTAAAGAAAAATTAGAGACCGCCGGTCTACAATACAGCAGGTGCCATTTTAATTAAACTACATTCTTCATTTTCTATCGAACAGTTAGTTAACAAATTCGACGAATAACGTTAACAAGAGACCTTACTTTGGAGGGCGGCATCAGAATTCAAGGAGTGAGGGGAATGTACACCAGACGATTTTTTTAATGGCTAAGAAAGGTGGATGGTGGTTGATAAATCTTTATAATCAGATGAAACAATAAACACGAAAAAAACCTTCAAGTAACATTTTTGGACATGAAAGCTAACACAAATTTAACCTGAAGATAGAAAACAAAACGCATTGAATACTTTAATTGTCATAACGGTTAAATACGCCGTCAAACACTCGCTTTTGGTTCGTGAATCAACGTTTAGGTTGGAGTTGGTCTACGAAACGCACAATAACCCCAGTCAACATCAAATAATGGAACGGAGAAGTCAGGTGACGTTTGCGACACCAATTTTTAGATACACAAGGAAACCACATTGATTTCATAATTTATAGGAATCTACTGAAAGATTACCTCCGAGATTTCGTCATCCAGGGCCGGGCTCGTGGATGGGGTAGGGCCGAGTCTAAGTTTGGGGCGTTTCGCGAAGTCTGAAGGCAAAGCAATGGGCAAACGAGTGGCCAGCTTTCCTTCAACACACCTGTCCCCGTTAAGAGAGAGTACAGCGGCGTCAAGGACGAGGTGACGTGGCCTGCCAACTCCATCTCCCCTGGTGCCAGCTACTCCTCCGGGACTAAGCCGGCTACGCACAGCGATCGGCGTCGAACAGCCACCCTCCAGTCGGTTCATAAAGGCCCTCTCGGCAATACAGGCTAGGGTCGCGGCTTCATCATGAATTCTAGCAAGAAGACTTTGGATTCGCTCGTCCCCAGCTCGACATTCACACGCTAGCGCACCCTGACCCACAGCGTAGCGACAATGATCCAATCTCTAGGAAGGAAATTGGTTAAATAAAAGAATATTTTTATCGAGCAATTGACTCAAAAGGCAAACGCACGGAAACGGTTGAATGATGGAAATATACAGCGATTTTGACTTCCTAGGGTATAATATTTTTTAAAATGAAAGAGATTGAAGCAGAACTACGAAGACTAATCTCAAAGCCCAGTCCTATTAGAGACGACAAGTCCTGAGAAGACGTCAGTGCAGTTATTAATGCTTTAACTGCCGGCATGTAAAAGCAAAACTGAAATTATGGGGGCAAGGAAATACCTCGTCGATTCGGGATTTCCAGCCGACTCGAACAATTCCAGCCTCTGCTAGTATGAGAGCGTCATATTTCGGAGAGTTGAATGGCATTCCACTAGACTGTGATGCAAATGAGTCAAGCTTCCCAAGTCTTGTAGACAGGTTCCCGCGCACAGAAGTGAAGTTTAGGTGTGGAAACTTCCTCTTGAGTACAGCGGTACGACGAAGCGAACTCGTTCCAATGACAGATTCAGGGGGAAGTTGAGACAGTTTCTTACCTCGATTTATTGGAGACATTAAAACGACATCAAAGGGCGAAGCCCTGGTAACTACGCAACCCAACACAAGACCACTAGGCATGGTTGTAGGCACGTCTTTTAACGAATGTACAACGAAATCAACTTTCCGGTTCAAAAGCGCCAGCTGGAGCTCTTTAGTAAATAAACTTTTATCACCAATTTTAGATAGTGGGATGTCCAGAATCTCGTCACCTATTGTAGAAATTTTCACGACCTCGAATTCAATCATTGGATAAATTGCCCGCAAGCGATCAATGATGATATTAGTCTGACGGAGAGCCAGTTGACTTTTGCGCGAGCCGACCCGGATAACTGACTTCGGAGTCGAAGCCATCGCCACACTACCGCAGAGAGCCGACGCCGAGTCAAGGTGCACGTCCATTGGCTCTCTGCCGGCGAAGGGTGCAGCCATGTTGAAGGAATTGCAAAATAGGAAGACGCCATAATGGAAAAATTCTGGCAGCAAGCCAAGAGCCTAGCCTATCCGATATTATAGGCATTTTCACATGATATATTCACGGGAAAAGCATCAGCAAAGAAAAAGAATGACAACTAATGCTTCGATAAAAAAGGTACACATAGGAAGGCGAAGTAGGATGGGCTGTGGTTTCACGTGGCGTCTATGTTCAAAGGAATGTCGACAAAGGAAATACTATAAGACAGGCTGCTTGGCAAATAAACCATGATGTTCCACATAAAGTTGTTAGCAGCAAAGAACCAAAATCAAGCAGTAATGATATAAAAATAGTGACATGCGATGCAAAAACGGGCAATTTGCGAAAAAAATATGGTTAGAATTATGGAGTTTAAAAGGCAATTTAATTCAAATATATTAAAAAATCAGCAGTAGATTATACCTAAATAAGGTTTGTCCCTTAGGTCAGCTGTTGATAATTAAAAAAAACATTAGAGCACTCAAATTCTTAAATATCGCTTCGTGTTAATCAAAAATATAAAGGAATATATCTATTGGTATCTCACTTATTTAGCAATGGGCATAGACCAATCTATTTGTGTTCGGTGCGGATTTGAATTATGTCGCTAACTTTAGCCATATTCGAATTTTTGAAATGCTAGATTTCATGTAACATTTCACCTACTTTCACTACTCTATAAGTGATTAAATCGCATTCAACCATGAGCCCATGAGAAAATTACAGACGAATAAATTCTGGTCAAAATGACAAAGGGCATGTTATTGACAAAATGAATAAAAAGGCGTTTGTCATCCTAAAGCATTTGTGTAATCAACGTAGATTCCATATTCAAGGCAAATATGTCAACATCATGTTAATGAATAGGTACACAAGTTTCTATTATGAGTTTAGTTGATTTCACTACGCCATACAGTGATCACAAGGGCAAAAATTATTGACTTGAGCAAGTCCTCATATTTACGATTACCCTTGCAATAAAACTAGTTATGACGCAGTTACCAAAAAAATATTATTCTTTTATAAGCGCACATACTTTCCATTTAGGTACTACGTGGCCTGTTACATGCGCGCGCCACGGTATCGCGGCACCTAACCGTTGTAAACTTTTATATTCTTTCGATGTCCCCTCGTGCGAAATTTTGGTTTGCATAAGAAGTGTAATTAGGTTGTGTTCTTGTCATGGACTGAAACAACATCTAAAAGACGCCCTAAAAATTTATAATACCCAAAAAATATAGCAGATATATTCAAAGTGATTCATGCCCTTATTTATCCATCTGACTTTGCATACTATTTATATCCCGCATATTTCATAGTCAGTTTTTTTTGCAGTAAATCCTGAGAGACAGACCAAGAATAACCTCACGTTTCGGGTCCATATTAGGTAGGTAAGTCACACTAAACATGATAATTTGTAAAGTGGCGGATTTTACGCAACAGCAGATTTAAAATATCATTAATGAATGGAAAATGTCTTCACCCTAGGCTCACGTAACCACGAAGCATAGTTTTAAAAATAAGTTAACATTATCTAAGCACATATTAACCCCATATTTAAGCGTTTAAGAAGTCCAGGAATTTTTTAGTGGAGGTTGCCCATCTACCTTCACATCCGGTTTTTTGTCTTGTTTCCAGATGCCATGAGGGGTCACATGTAAGAGTCATTAATCGAAAATTATCATGTACATAATTTGTTGTGGCAACAGTCATGGCACCCACAAGCACTTTTATGCACTAAATTAAGAAAAGGTCTGAAATGATCCTGGACTGAAGTGTAGGGTTAATAAGCTGTTGAATTTTAATTCAAATGACTTTTCAAATGATGAAATCTATAGCTTAAAAACATTTTTAAAAACCAGATTACTGACCACTGGTGTAACTTCAAATACACTGATTAGTAGCTTCGTAAATTTGACACTGGAATCATGCTAAAAATAAACTCAATTTCAAATGATTTATTTGACATGTATACACGAGTTAATTCACACGCTGCATCGAAATTCGAGACATCCCGGATCAACACAATTTGCACCAATGCCAAATATTTATACGTATATAGTGCTCATGAATGTCCCAGAAAATTTGTGAACTTCAGGAATTCATGACCGAAACTGAAATTAATTCCAAGTAAATGATTATAAAATTATTTGACTGCGTAAATAATCACATTTTAAAATACTAACAGAATACATATGAAAATTAAAGAGTTGGAACATTTTTGCCATCGAATTACCCGTGAAATAATTTTCCAAATTACCAGCACTGTGAATGTTCAAATTTTGCTTAAGGCTTAAAACAAAAGCTTTCTACCCAATCAAATGCTCACCCTTTGGACATTAGCATAAATACGGTTTTCGCAATAGCACCTGCGGCTTGCGTGCTCTCGGTTCTCGTTATTTAAATGACTGCAGAAGTTGCTCAGTCGGCTGAAGAACAACAAAAAGCTCAAGGCAAGAAGAATTTCGAGCTCTTGAGTGTTATTGGTAAGCTATTTGTTCAGCCCCTCATGTAGTTCTTTATTTTGCTTGACAACCCTCTTCGCGTGGTTAACATGGGATATTAAAAGGAATGCTCATCATACATCGCCTTCTAGGTCAATTGGAATAATAAACTGAATCCACCATATTCGGGATGTTTGCTTCAATTTTGGTTGTGTGACGTTATGTACAACAAAGCACCTCATTTTATGGGGTGGTTCATCCCTTACTGTTTACTATCGCATCCCTCGTGTTTTCTATTGATCCATAGGTTATTCTTTTTCGAATTCGCGGTAATTTAGGCCAGTTTAGTGTGGCTGAACCTTTTGTGTTTTTGTTTTTGACACTTAAAGTTGTTTTGGTTAATTTGCTGTTGGAGACTCCTTCATTAAGTTTGGACTCATTTTAATGCGACCCCCTCGTAGTATTTCGTGCCGTGGTATTGATTAATCAGCGTCTGACAAATGCCTAATCTTGCTCCTTGAGCTTACCTCAGCCAACTAATTGTTTCTAATAAGCGGATGGTCTGCCTAAAGTTTCCTGGTTAATTTTTTAAGACTTCGTGTGGCTTAACGCCCACCCGTAGGCTTCTCATTATGTTTACTGAATGTACTACCTTTTACCTTGGGGCATTTTATTTTGACAACTTTATTTCTAAGTCTCGCCACTCAAATGCAGCTTTTTATTTCCAGTTGCAGTTGTCATAGGTCACATTGTTAAAATACCTTGTCGTGTAATTTGTTGGCTGTTTGAGGGCAGCACAAAACTTAGAATGATACCCAATGTACAAAGTAGCAATTTAATCTTAGTCAATTTTACTCTGCTAAAGCCGAAACAAAGCAGTTTGGAATTAAAAGTGTGATATTCCTTCATGCACACTTCTTTCCATGTGTACTAGGATGCTGATCTAATCATGTTATTAATTTACTCCGAGTGCAAGTGGTATAGGTATAAGCCTTCCAAACTTATCAGTCTTCATTGTTTCCATGTTTAGTTGAGAAGGTGACGGGAACAGTAAAGTGGTTTAGCGTCCCTCGACACTACGGATTTATTCAGCGCGATGACAACAAAGAGGATGTTTTTGTTCACAGAACAGCTATTACAGCATCCCGATCTCGGTTTCCAACTCTAAAAAATGGAGAACCTGTCGAGTTTTCAGTTGTTCAAACAACTGGGGGTGTCAATGCCGCTTCTGTGACTGGTCCTAACGGTCAACGTGTAAAGGTAGGTGACCTCACCTTAGTCTTGACGTTTTTCGACTTGAAACGGTATACTCCAAAATCGTGGTGGTCAATTCTTCATCTATGCCCATCACCCCCCATTTTTACTCAAGAACAATTTTGCCGGAATTGGGTATTACGGATATATTTAATATTTTATAGGCTTGGGTTTTGTGCTCTATTTGGAGTACTATGGTCCTAACTTATCTTAGTCTTTAAAAAGTGTGTAAAACGCATTGTTGATACAACTATTATTTTGTAATCAAATTGTAAAGAAGGCTGGTTTTTTGATTTGAAATCTGTCGTCATAAATTGTTGGCCTAAGCAACGCGCTTACATGTCTTCAATAAAAATGATTCACGCGATTCCCCTAATTGAGAAGTCTTGTTGTCGATTGTTCTGACAACAAAAAACTTAATACGCGCCTAACGATTACATCTAGTTAAACGCTTGAATTCTACCTCCCGTTAATCCAGGCATGTTATCTCAGTACCTCCTTGATCAAATTGTAAAGTATTGCCTAAATTAACTAAAGGACTACATGGGGTTCTTCATCAAAACCACACTTTCCACACATTTTAGGATGGACATGGGGTGTATTAGTAGCTGTATTCTGCGCGATAATGTGCCCACTGGCTTGACTATTTGCCTGCGTGCGTATGAGGGCGAACTAGCAGCCAGTGCCAGTACCATTGGAATGCGTGCTTACATGTGCACAACTTCACATTTTACTTCACTGTCTCCACATTACCCTCTGCCAGCTTGCGTAAGAACAAATTGGTTCAAAGTTGTACTACCGCCATGGCCTTGGTCGTTTCTTGTATGAACTAGTTGAATCCAAACATGCATTTGCAGCGCTGGTTCTTGCAATAGACTGCAGCCAAAATTAGTAGGTATACCATAAAGACATCTGTTCGGCCGATCGATGCCATTTGTATGCTTTAACTGTGATTTGGCCTCGTTAATTGTATCACTATCGGTCCGCTAGATTCTGGGTTGGCTCTATTATTTAAGACAATCAGTGCTGCTAACGCTTATCTACCAACCTTCGCATGTGGTCTGTGTCCGACCACAGATCGGTGTTGCGAGAGTGATCGGTTTCCATTACTCGACATAGTCTAGTGATTCGATATTGTGTGTTGGTGTTTTTCGTTGAGAATTTGCCATAATATCCATTCAAACGTGTAAACGCACATGTGTATGTATAACCAGGACATTTATTTATGATTTAGGCCATACTAACGTTTCCTTGTTTCTTTAAGTATTATGCAGTGTACCTTTCCATTTGACACGGAAGTCACTCGTGGACAACTTCGTATGATCGGATTGATGAACGACGGCGAAGAATCATACTGTCACCAGCCAGAGCAAGCAAAACGATCAGACTTATTTTCCCAAACTATTTTAGTTGCAAAGACTTAATAAATATACACAAAACGGTCCGTGTAAATGCTCACAGCAACTGCATGTTTTCCAAATGTCATTGTTTAACCAATTAATATTAGTCTGGACAACATGAGTCATCATTATCGTTCGGTGTATGTAAATAAGAGTGGGATAAACGATATCGGGATGAAACAATTTCACTGTTAGATTACCTGTTCAAGTTTACATGCAGTCGCTCGATATCAACCTGGTTATATACGGTTGTTAATCTTATGGTTGAGTCCGTACAGGCTCATTAATGTCTTGGTATTCTCTTTCAGGGTGCCCCTATATTTTATCGACGACCCAAGCCCAACCCCGAAGGAAGTGATGGGCAATTCAGGGCAAACGGAACTGCTCATGCTAGTGGGGACGTCGAGGGGACTCGCCAGCGAGGTGGCCCTCGCAGGCTTAGGCGAGGACGTCGATCCTTCCGACCAGTAAGTTGTTCCCACATGTATTCGATTTTAACGTGCTCTTGTGCGTGGTGGCCTTATTTTTGCCCTCATATGTTCCCGAGTTCGCGTCTACAATCTGCCACGTCTTACTTTGTTTAAATCTTAAAATTGCCGAAGTATATAGTGATTACTTCTATGGTCAAATTGTGATGAATTGGGTAAATGATGTGGAGCCAAATTGTTTACCTTTTTAGGTAAACTTCACAACTGACAGCGTTTTAGGTTGGTCTTATTGATTTTTCGAGTGGGATGTGGGGTGTTGGAATTTATACATTTGCCACATAACTTTGTAATTACTATTTTGGTTCTCTTTACTTTAATGGTTTAGGTAACAATTTCTAGGATGTCTTGAAAGTGTGACGTACCGTCTATGTTGTTTATGGCTTGGATTGAAGTAAATGCACATCTTTCGATCATGCGTCCGCATTTTTGAGGGTTATAAAATACTTATTTTTCAACCTTCTTAGAGCCAGAACGGGATGGGTGACGGTGAGGTTACCGGCGGTAGTGGAGAGCAAGACGAGGAGCATGGTGGTGCTAGTGGCGCAGAGGGCGCCGGTATTCCCCGTCAACGTCCTCGTCGTTTTCGCGGTGGCGGTAGAAGTCGAGGACGTCAACGATCCACCAGCACCAAACAGCAGACCAACGGTGAAGCCAATGGTGAAGAGGGAGTTGTCACCAGTGGCGAAGAAGGCCTGCGCCAGCAACAGCCGCCCCGTCGCGGTGGGCGTTTCCGTCGTGGTGGTGGCGGCGGCAGGTTTCGCCGCGGCGGTAGTGGTGCACCTACAAGAGAAAGAACTGCGGGTTTGGAGAAACCAGCCGTTCCAGAGAATAGTGGTATATTAATTTTTTTTTTCACCTTAATGTGCAAATGGCTATCGGTCGCATGAGAATCAGGGCAAGGTAGTGATTGCGATATGCTTTTGTAATGCAAGATTGATTCCCGTGGGAGGCTAGTACCAGTTTCGGATGGCGTTCTGTCGCTTATCGGAAAACAGTATGGATTTCACAACCTGATATTTCCGTTTTTTAAACCTCGTAATAAAAATCAAGACACGTGAATTTTGAGGTTGTGACACCTGTGGATCATGGATTTTCAAACGCAGACACTTTCGTTGAGACGCGTGTCACGCAGCAGTCTGTTCAATGTGTGCATGCTACGCTGCGTGCTTCCCACTGATGGCGCGCCACGACTAGCCCATTTTTAGTAAGAAATCGTCTGCATTTTGGGCAAAATAGTACTGTATCCCGAAAACTATTCCAGTGTGCTGATTATAAACTGATTAATTCTATGTCCCAAAAACGTTTCTACTTGCTTTTTCGTTCCCTTCACTTGACAACTTCGAATATGACTAATCAACACGAGTCGATTAGCTCAATTTTCTACTTCGCCTTGTTTGTTTTTACCCTGCGGTCACTCAAACCGGTATGTGCATGTTGGAATAAGTTAGTGTAACCATGAAGGGAAGAACTTGATTTTTGACATTCTGATTTCATATTTCGTATGTTGCCCTCTGATGACCTGCTTTCTTTGCGGCAACACGTCCGATACTTGCAGCAAGTGAACCGGAATAGTCGATTTTGGTGTGATTCAGTGAAATCAGTTAACGACCGAATTCAATTCCTGCAAAATAACCTGTAGTGTTTCGATTCCCTTCAAGTCTCCCACTTTTTTGTTACTCTCGTCGGATCCCAGTTTAGATTTGTGGGCAAAATCACCCGCGCGCTTGGTTTTGGTTGACATCTGCTAGTATGAACGAGCTACGTAGTCCTATAGGCGCTTACAAGCTCGGTATTGGGATTTTGTTTAGAGTTGGAACTTCTCACTTGGTAGTTCAGTCGACCATTAAGGTTTTCGACTTTATTGTCATAGCAGGTAACACCAGAGTCGTGGATTTTGTGTTTTTAGAAGGATCTTTAGAACAGAAAATGGACAACATGTCTTTGAGCGAAACAACTAATGTGTCAGAGAAGCCGAAGGAGACAATAGCGGGTGATACGGAAAACGTGCAAGAGGAGCCGACGACCGGAGACGTTTCTGCCGAAGCCGCGGAGACCACTCCGGCCACAAATTAGGCTCGTGAAAGATCCATTCACTCGTCCGTCCGAATTATAAACTACACTTGGCATCGTTTTTGTGCGTGTGGGGCGCAAGGCGGCTGATGTGCGTATGTGTTGGTTTGCATCCCACTTTATTCTGCTCTGTTCCTGCTACAGTCATTTGACCAGCCGTCCTACCTACCACCGCTCCCCTAGTTCTAAAATACCACATTTGCGTCGCTTTTTTTATCATCCTCCCCCACCTCCGCTGCAAACATTTGCACACTGAGCTCTTGTTTGTGTTGCGGTGTTCCTACTTGTTAGGGCGTATGCTACCAGAACCGTTTGTTTTCTATACACACGCAGTAATGCCATGCGGTAGTACAATCAAATGACCCCCATCTTTACCCATTGTTGAATTTTACACGCAATCATAAACTGCATGTATGATAACGAGCTTCGTCATTTTGTATCCTCTCCCAAGAGAATGGTGTGGGGAACCGATGACAGGAGGGAACCAGAAGAAGCAACTGTTGAATCACTGGTTGTTGAGAGAACTGGGTGGTAATTCCGGTTCGTGTTATTGCCAGGGTTTGGTAAATTAAGAAATGTGATAAGCTAGGTGTATTCAATCGTATCTGTTTTTGTGGTGAGGCTCGGTTAGTTTCAGAAGTATGCAGTTCCTCTTGTCAAATTCGTGAGCGCGTCTTGAAATCTGGGGCCCATTTGTGGGATTTCCGTGCACGCTGTTTTACGTCACGTACAGATGAGTCATTAATGTTCACTGGCGTTGTAGAATTCGAAGCCCGTCCGGTGCCAGTCTATGAGAATCTAGTTCGTTAGTCGTATCAAAAAGCATGCAAGGCATTGATTCGTGGTGAGGGTATTTAAAAACTACTTGCCACCGTTCCTTCAAATTGCACCCCAATTTGTGTTGGCCCGGTCTCTACGCAGGCGCCTGAGTAGGTTAATAAGACCAGAGGCAGCGGAAGTAACTTTTAAGTGATTCAATCTAGTGTCACTGTTGTCCCTGCGCGCACACAAGTCAGAAAATATCTACAAGCACATACTCAAATGTGGTGCATAAGAATGTGGAGGGCGAAAGTTGATTTATGAAAGCTGATGAAAGTGAGTAACATATCTTTCACCAAAGTTATGCCGCGGTGTTTTTGGAGGTAGCGTCCTTGCAGAAAACCATATTGAAGGGTTAACCATCTTCACGCTTTCCAATTATTGGGTGTTAATTCTGGTCACGTTATGTTGTTCACCCAGAGTTTAGTGTTGGTTAATTGGTTCATTAGAAGGAATTTAAAACGTAAAATGTTTATTCCATTATTTTGAACCGTTCATAGGTTTACTGAGGCAGGCAGTTCTGGTTAGTGTGTCAGATGTTACTACATCGAAAATATTTCATAAATATTTTAGTTTTGTTCAAATCCTAAATGACATGTAAGGTCGAATCTACATTAGTTCTTTGTTAACGCGAGGACTATATTTGGCGTCATTATATGGTCTTCAAACAGTTTGATTTCCAGCTGTTGTTCAACGTCGGCAAACTAATTACTAAAACAAAATTATAGATATAAATTTCCGTCCTCAAATTTTCATCCTGCATTTACTACCCGAGTGCCAAGTGTTTTTACATATCATAGTACCGATTGTCGCTATCTTACGTCAGTGACGTGCAAGAACATTTAGGATAATTAAGCGGCACCTGGTTTTTAGGTCTGATAAAAATTTTCGAAGGTTATGGGTGCCCCAAAGGGCACGCTTACGTCTGGATTCTAGCATAGGCATATTTGCAGATATTAATAGTCACCTGTGGGGCCAACACCAACAGAAATGCAACAAATCAAATTAGTTTCGGTTCAGAGATGCGCTGATGTTCAAGTGGTGACCATTTTTTAAAATTTGTCCTAACGGGGGATAAATGTAGCCTTGTGACTTGCTTCAATTACTTTATTAGCACATTGAAGACGGAATAGTTTGGGGTTCCTATTAAACTTCCAGTCATTAACCTAAACGTGGTTCTGAAAATACTTTCCTGTCTAAATTTTGTGTGCCAGATAGATTCGAATAGATGGAATTCTTGATTGTTTCGTTTTAATGTTCCGGTTCGGCACGTGAGCGCTATTTTGAGATTGTGACGCTTTATAGGAACCGTAGGGAAACACCAATTGAAGTAATGCATACATTTGTTGCTTGTTGGTTAAATGTGACCATTATTGGCGCATCAAAAAATAGATTTTTAAAGATATATTATTCACATTGTGGTTGCACGAAGAATTTGGGTACCAAATAAAATCAACAAAGAATTTTTTGCAAGACTGTTTAAAAAATTTGACCTCAAGAATCCATCAATAGAAACCCATCTACGCTTGTTTAGCGATGTATTACAAAGAAAACATCGTAAACGGATCACTCCAGTAGTTTTAGCAAGAAAACTTAAACAATCAGGGTTCATATACAGGTATTGATGGAATGCTATAACAGTCGTAATATTGCTTTCCCCTCAGTTAACATAGACCTGCTCACAAATCTCAAAAAAGCTGGAATAATTTCGACCGGATTTTGTTAGTTTGTAAAAAAATTGATAGGAAGCGTTGGTAGCACTGAAGGCTTGAAAGCTACACCTATCTCTTGCGACTACAAGAGGTTTGAATCATTCATTTATAGCCAGTGGCCAAAAAAAAGAGTGCTCAAGCGATCCACCGATGCAAACATTCGTTTACAACACTAAAAAGTGACGTGTAATTGCCCTCGTATGGGATCCAAAAATAGGAAGTTGCATCGGCACCACTTGCAGCTGACAGGAAAAGTTGCCCGATGTTGGAAAGGTGGTCGTCATTTAATGAAATGTTTAATGCAATGATGGCCAAAGGGCAGAACACAAGACGTTAAACCGAAAGTAAATAGTCAAAATCGTTTACGGTTTGGTCATCATTATTGAGAAGGCTGGAAGATTTCCTTGTGTGGTACTGAATCAGAAAGTTTTAGATTGTCCAATCCGGCTAATTAATAGTTTTTTGGTCTTGGAACCGTGATAAATAAATCATTAGGAAGAGGCACATTTGCGTCTGTATTTCCTAGGATCTAAAAGACTAATAATATATTTCAATATAAGCATATTCACCTACTAGTAAATTAAGCTCATCATTAAAGATATCAATGCACAAAGTTTTATTAGAGTCATCTAAATCATTTTATGTTTTGAGAAAAGAGGCTGTTTTAGATTTGTAGGTAAATTTATTACCTTTTCGATGCTCATTGGATTGGCTTAATTAAGAGTAGCATTGCAGAATCGAGAAAAACCACAACCTATATTTAAAGCGTCAATAAATCACTTACAATGTGCCAATTGGTTAATAGTGTAAAATTATGTGCCAAAAAACGGATGCGTTGCGATTTGAGAAAAGTGGTGATTCAAGACATAGAAGGTCCAGTAAGAATTAGCAAAGAGACGAGGAAACAAAAGACGTCTTTTGCAAATTTATCCAGGTTTTAATACATTCAGATAATAAAAGGATACGTCATTTTGCGATTGAAATTTGGAAATACCAAATATCATATGAAGTCCAAGCAATAAAATGTAGATTTAGGATGAACGACAGACGATGCCCTTTGTAAAAAAATAGTTGAGGAGTCAGGCATGGTGGAATTTACTTTTGAAATGTTTGTCGAGGCCGAAATTTAACAGAGGTCGAGAGCCTTAATCTGTAACCTAAAGTCTAAACATTAAAAAAACACATGTGGTTAGGAAAAAGTAAATTAGGAATTAAAGTAGTAAGTTTTTAGGGAAGGCTTAGAAATATTATGTATTAATTAAATTGTGTACACGAATGTAATTTAGTGGATTGCGAATTGTCTAAACGAGATAAGCGTGAATATAAAACTCGAATGCGAATAAATATGCTAAAAATGTAGATCCGAAAAAATAACAAAGTGGAGCCAATGTGCAAGCATTTGTAAACTGGAAAAATAAAATCAAATCTGTTGAATTATTTTGATTATATTAAGCATAAAATTACATCTGTAATTGATGATATTAAGGCGGTAGTAAAAAATCATAGCATTTTGATCAGTTTCATTTAGCTCAGCTGCATTCAACAGGTACATTTACACAATGTGTAATCAAGCCAATTTTGTATGCAAGTTCAGACTGAGAAGGCGAAAATCAGACAAGTGATTGAACCAATCTTCTGGTTTAAGAAAAAAACTGGAATAACGTTTAGACAAAAAGCCACTTTTTTAGCTAAATATTGCTCACGTAAAAAGATAGCTCTAATTTATGCTTATAATTCTTGGATTTACACAAACTGTACCATAACCCTTCATTTAGCGTATTCGACATTGTTGAGTTTTTAGCATGCCTTAAGCAATTCCTTACAGGCTTTTGTTAATTGTTTGCTAAAATTTAATTTTTTAAAGCATAAACTGCTTGCACCATTGCAGTTACGGGAATTTTTTAAAAAAAATGTGAGAGGTTTACTTCTGATGAAGTGATTTGAACAAAACTTATTTTACCAATTGGCTTTCCAGGAGGCGTCGATCTTAGAGAGCCATATTGAAAATTGAAGCGATTTCTGACCCAGGGGCTTTTTTGCCATTGTTTTCTGCCTTTCGTGGACATTCTCAATGAGGCTAGGTCATCTTGTTTAATTGTGGAAATTACGTACATCGTGAACACGAAGACGCTGTTTTTTTAATGGACACTACAACTGAATTTCTTACTGCTTTCTATTCCCAGAAATTTTCCTCGTTTGAAGAATTTTATAGTAAATTGAAGGACTTCGAGAAGGTGTGTGACTTGTTCTATATAATCTGTGCTAGTTAACTGGCTCTATTTATATCATACAAAGCTCGAAGTTTCTTTCCCAAGACCATCCTGATAGAGGAAGATTGGTATATGGCGCACTTCAGTATTCCTGTTATCACTATGGTGTTTGTCAAAGCATTGCAACGCCTCGGCGGAATCAAAGGTTAGAGCTTATCACAATATTAATATTATTGATATTAGGCACTCTAGAGGCTCATGTGGGTCTAGAATTAGCCTTTCAGCCATGAGTGGTAAATTATGGATCACGAAATACCATATGATTCATAACCATCCTCCTTTACCTGAAACTGCGAAGATTGACCAAAGTGTTCGTAGACTCCAAGTGCAGGAGCCAGGCAAGGATGAACTCGTTATCAGTGATGGTAAGTTTGCCTTGCTTCTACTGACCTTTGCTTTAGACGTGCAGTTAGTTCTGGATGATATCGTTGACCAGCTACCTAATCATAATGCGTCACTGGAATCTATGAGAGGTAAATGCTCTACTATATTACGTGTATATTAATAGGCTCACCAAATAAGTCCCAATCTGCATCCAGACCGGTGCTGGAGCGTAAAGCTGCCGCAAGGGATCGTCTGGCTGCCAGAACAAAAAAGGCCCGTGGCTTGAAGTTAGCTCCCTGTCTTCGTCGCTTAGCTGAATTGGCTTCAGCAGGAACTGGCCAAGAATTCCACAAACATCTTGACGAACTCGAAGCTCTCGTAGATATATGGAAACGTGGCGACAATTCATCCTTAGTCTCGGGACACTCGGGAAGTTCTAGCAGTGTGCGCACCGAGTCCCACCCCGTAACTCCTTCTCCCACCGATTCCCTTGCAATCGCAAAAGCTGTCGAAAACCTTTTTCGAAAGCAAAAGGCTCTGGAAAGTTCAAATGTTCTTACTCCTTTGAGCGCCAAGGGTCAAGTTCGCTCCCAGAACGACCCCCAAATATTGACTCCACTTGTTGCTGCCAATACCGTGTCTGTTATTCAAACTCCTACACAGCCGGTTGTTCTAAAGCAAGCTCTTGGCTCTCAGTCTGGTGCCTTTATTAGCGGTTCAGGCGTCGTGACTGTCCCCTCTGGCGGTGTTGCCACCCTCTCAAAGGACGTAGTGTTAGCTGATGCTGGTGGCGGTCAGCTGCATCTAATAAACAGCGCCTCAATTGTTTCGTCAACTGGCCAAAAAAACGACAATGGCGTGACCGATGGACAGCACATATTAGGTTATGTCATTCAACCCATGCCTGCACTTTCGTCTGGTGGACAAACGCTGCTCCCTTCTACAGCTGTGGTAGCGCCAACGAATTTCGTTCCCATTGCTCCCAAACTCCCAATCAGCGATTCGCCCGGTCAGGCATTTCAGCCCATCCCTCCACCACCTCCCAAAGCAGTGCGACCGCCAATGCCAGTTTGCAAACCAAAAGTTGTGAAGCCCAGAGGGCGTCAACCGAAAGGGAAATCACCACTGAGGGAAAGCCTGATCGCACCATGCGATGGGCTCTCGGTGACACCATTTGAGGATGATGACAGCGAGCCCAAACCTTGGACCCCAATGATTATGGAAGGGGATTCGTGTTCGTATTTCCTGTTTGTCGAGGATGCAAATTACTACTATTCGCCCGAGGAGGATGCTTGGCTACCTGCCGATCAACAAACCATGGCGGTCGATACGTAAACTTGGCAACGTCTACAAACCCAATGTACAGATGCGACACGCGCTTGGATACGTTTTACACCACAACTCCGCTAGCCATTACTGGGTTGGCGTTCACCCACACATGACATCTATATTGTTTCGCGAAACAATGTATATTCGTACGCTGTCCCTTTTTGGCATGATTCTGCACATGTGTACCATGTATTTTTGCTTCCAATCGGCAAGTGTGTCTCTTGCACTTGCGTTGCTGGCTGCGTAGCTAAACTGAATGTACAGCACACTCGAAACCACTCCCCTTACTTAGTGTTGTAAATAAACTATTTTGCACACGGTCAAGTAAAGTGAAGATAGAGCGCTTGCTTTATTGGGTTCTAAAGGCGACGCGTTGTGAGTAACGTAGGTAAGACAACTGGGTGGTGGTGCTTTTCGCTGCTCCTGTGGTCACGCATGGGTGCTGTTGTATGTGGGTGCAATGAAGTTAAATCTGCTGGCTTCCTGTGGGTTTGTGACTTGAACTAGTGCCTTAGCTGGTTGATTACTCCGTTTGCCTTGTCTCAGCGCTTGGCTTTGTTCCCAACTTTGTCCGACGCAAGTAGCGTGCGGCCCCAGGAGGAATTCGCAAACGTTTGAAAGAAAATCTACTTATGAATTGTAAGTAGGCGTGTCCTCGCAAGTTCGAAGACTTACAAGATACGGAATTGTTGGGGTTTGGAGAATACTGGAAGATCTCCTCAATTATCGTGTCTGTATACGGCACAGCATACAGAATCTACACAGATCTAATCTTGCGATCAAAGTAGGTACAGTAGAGTAGGTATTTAGGAGCACGAATAGCATTAAGTCATGGACTTGAACCAATCAAGACTGATGTAACCTCGGCGGTGGCTTCGAAGTGTCGCTTTGAGTTTAAGTTGACGTGGTGTACGTGGTGTTTTTAAAGTACCTTTGCTTAAGTTGTAATCAGTATTTTCGCCAATACTCATGACGCGCTATCAAAGCGTTGACCAGAGTTTCTACGTCTGACAGTGCAGTCTTGAAATATCACTAAACTTCGTTAATGGACTTCAAAATTTCACTCGGAACACCCGCCTTCGTGGTGCTTCCACACGCATGCAAACCTGCCTGTCTATATTCCACCTCCTCATTGGTCGCACATATATTTTTAGGCACAGTAACGCTAATAATTATAAAATAATTGTAAAGTTACATGCTTGTGCTTTATTGCACGTTAACCAGTACGTTAGTGAGAAAAAAGCCTCGTCAGCGGATATCGCATTTTCAATAAATAGAAATTTTCTTTATCGCTGCAGGGAATATCTGGTAGCGCAACGCTTGCAGACTTAAGCAGTGCATTAAATCATGCACCAGTTAGAGAGCGCACGATCAACCCACCAGCTTAATTTGGAGACAAGTCTGAACCATGTGATGGATTTGCGGTTTTAAAAGGAAGCTTCAGTTGTGAAGACAATCCATAATCTGCACACATGACTCAGAATGCTACGGGTCAACATGTGCTGTTTGCTTCCGGCAAGCTGGCTAATTTGATTGTTGGGGTTGTCAGGGAAAGCGTGGGCTGTGTGTGTGGCCTGCATATCGGTTATTTAGCATGATTGGCTATCTCTCCAGAGATATGCAAGCTGTAAGAGCAATTTTGCGCATTTTCACAAATCAACAATGGCTCTAAACGAGGTTGTGATGGGCTGTTTGACTCTATCTCTGGTGTTGTATTTGCTGGCCGTTATAATCGGAGCGTGGCCGTGCGGTGGATTGTTTAGGGAGTGCCAAAAGACTGGAACTAGAAATACCAGTTGGATGGTGTACAATTATGACATAATCGGTGGCTTGCTAATTGTCTGCGTCATCACCATCACCATCAGTCTTGTGCTAACCATACTGTCTCTGCTGTTTGATCATTCATGGATCCGTGTTGTCTCCTACTGCACATGTTTCATTGCATTTGCAATTGGAATTACTATGGAGATCTGTTTTCACACGCGAATCAATTACGACTGGTCGTCTTTCCTCAATACCGTTGGAATGACACTATGCTTCCAGGTCTTTCTCGTGCAGGTGGCTGAACTCATACACATACAACTTGGGGCGACTGCACATTTTACACCAGAATTCATGTAAAACAGAATAATGTTTCACAACATTTTAGCGATTTTTCTATCAAACTTTTGTTATTATCTCTGTAAAAGGACGTTTTCTTTTAAGTGTGAAACGAGATTGGGATTTGAAGGTAAATATTCAATTTACTGTGATTTGCAGCAAAAAAGCAATGAAAAAGCTAGGGGAATATGTACGTTTATCTAGAAATTATACTATTTGAGCATTATTATATACTGCACAGTTGAGGAAGCCCAAAAGACTTAGACACCAAGTGGCTGTCCTTTACCTGCGTTAATTGGTGTGGCCAATGACCTGTGGTGTAGCAGTGGGGGTGGTGGTACGCGGCTTGAAGAGCATCCAATTTGTTTGGTTTGTGTGAAGGGGTCTGTAGGTGTAGACTACTGATTGGCCCCGCTAAGGCGGAATAACATACTAAATGTAAGTTAAGGTTCAGAGACAACAGCGGTTTCGATATTTTCTAAAACACTCAAAACTACATGTTAATAAGCGGTTACTAATGCAACACCATACATTAGGCTACATTTATGCCTAGCAGGAGGGCAATAACTCTCATCGATAACTTCATACAAATTGTTAATGAAATTCTCACTTAGGGTCTGGACGGCGGTCAAGCAGTAAATCGTTTCCAACATTTGCTACATAGTGCGTGATGAGTCTTCAATGTTAGCGGAATATACTACAACCAAATCAAGTAGCCTTTTAGAAGTTGCATGTTTAAATGAAGACTACCTGTGTGTATGGAAGCGAGTACGCCCATTAACATCACAGCAGGTAGTCAGTCGCCAAGTTACCTGAGTACTCAGACCTAGTGTTCCATAGTTGAATGGCCGTATTTGAGGACGTCATTTAAAGAGGTCAGTGGTGGAGTCATTTATTTCCACTCACTGAGCTAGATTTGATGGCAGCCACAATGGCGAAATTCGGATGCAGCAGCAATCATGTTAAAAATTTCAAGTATTTTAAAAGTATTTTAAAAGTATGTGGTCTAGTCATTTGCATTGATCAAAAAACGACACCAGTAGAAATGATTGGGGACCGTAGGTTTAAAAAAACTCAGTCTTGCGCATTAAAACTGGCGAGATTATTATTATGTGTAATCTTCTACCATAGTTCTCTCAAGGATAAATAAAATATTCAACTCCGATGCCTTCTTAGGTCGCAGCAACACAAACTGATTCCTTCAACCACCAAATGTAATTTTAAGAAATTCCTCCATTCTGTGTTATAACAAAATTTGTGTTAAAAACTCGACCCATTACATTATCACATTTAAATTCTGGTAACCTAAAAGTAATCCAGAATAATCAATAAGTCCTCGTTACAATTTAAAGACATTCAGGAAAAAGCGGTCATAATTTAAAGAGCGGAAACCGATTATAAGGATAATCCACTTCGATGAAAGCACCAGACTCAATTAATGGATATTAATTTTTAAGGGGCAAGATAGTTCAGTTTAGTGACAGGTTAGGTTCAAATTGGTTTAATTATTGGCTGGTAATTACTGCATCTTTAGCTTAGAAACAAAGTCTAATAACAAGAAGGAAGTGCGTGCATTTAAAACTAAAGAAAAAATGGGGAAAGCGTTGTTTTAGCTCCATTAAATTGCAACAAGATCATAGAAAACATTTTGAGATCGTGGAATTTAAAAAAAACTTATTTTTGCTGATCTATATTGCACTGATTTTTGGAATTTTGTTGACGGTTTGATGGGGAAGCCTAGCTTGATGTGCCAACACGCATTTATACCTGTGTGGTCTTTACCATCGGGTAGCCTCAATCGCAAGCCCTGTGTCATCAAACACTTGCACATTTGGGGCAATGATTCTCAGAGTGGCGTTGGTTGCTGGTTTAACAATAGCTCTGGTCCTCTTCATACTCTCGCTTTCCATTAGCGGATGGCCTTGCGGTGGCCTCTTTGAGCAGTGTCAGGACCCGAGTTTGGTTACTCCAAGTCTCATCTACGACTACCACGTGGTCGGTGGGCTGCTCGTGGTGGCCGCCCTCGCGTCGTTCGTTAGCCTGGTGCTGGCGATGTGTGCGCTCCGCAGAAAGCGCTTCCGGAACCTCCTGGTGTCGGCAGTCTGGTGCTTTGTTGCCTTCACAATGAGCTTCACAGCAGAGATCTACTTCCACACAAAGTCCTACAATGACTGGTCGGCGTTTATTGCGACAATTGCCATGGTCCTGAGCTTCTCGTGCTGCGTCATCAAAGTGGCCCGAATGTGTACATTGAAGTCAAGTCCGGTGAACGTTTTTACTCCGATGGAACCGTGAGCACATTGCACGCTGTATGTAACTCCCAAGATTAATCCATGCTTTTCAATTCAATTGTAATACAATGCCTTACTGATTGGAGTCACTGCTATCGTAATTGATAAAAGACACGATAAGTGTGTGTGTTTCCTCCTCTTACCGATCTCTCTCTTTTTTTCTAATAAAGGCAATTACCAAATTACCTGGATACGATGTCTGGCAAAAAAGCACATTTACAATAAGAAATATTAATAATCAATTCAGACACTGAGTACATTAACAGAAATTAAGGAGAAACCCAATTTAACGTGATTTAAATATTGCCTTTCCACATCGAACAGTCATGATTATTTTTGAATTTAATTAATAAAATTAAAGTTGAGGTAATGCAGCGTAATTTCAAAGCTCTACCGAGTTGTGATGTAAAGCAAGATCTCTCTAAAAAGGTGACTTTGAAGCATTAATTTCGTTGAAACACCACTAAAAATGATGCGGCTTTTTATCGAGCAAACTTTGATCAGTTATGTTGCCAGTTCGTATAAATCCTCATTCACAAATGATTTTAGGTCACCAGAACGCAGGCACAAGTTTACTGGATTGAACAATTTGTGTGTCAACTCATTCCTGTAGACTGCACAAAGGAAAGCAGAAACATGCATTTTATCGTCACATATATTAAATAAAGGCACTGTGAGCGAACCCAGTATTCAGAGATTAGCAATTTATATTTTATAAATGAAAACAAATGCTACGCATATAATAAGGCTACGTACTGGGAATACTGTAGATGTTGTAAAGGAACATGTGCTTTTACGTGTGCCAACAATGATTCAAGAAACCTGGCTTTGGCAGGAGATGTTGAAATAATGAACTCTCTGGTAGGTACAATGGTGATTGACGACATCTAAATCAGGACACTGGAATTAATCCACATCGTACGACGGATTCAAAAGAACCACGTGCATGCAGGCCCGAAAAACGATTGCAGTGAGGCCTTTAGAACACAATGAAAATTTATTCGTGCATGAAAACGTATTATATGAAAAGCGAGTGAGATTCTAGAAACTGATTTGAAAGAAGCAAAATGCGTCATTCGTTTAGGCATTTGCACTGTGACAAGAAGTAGTTGTAGACAGAGAAGGGCTATTGTGTGTTTAACTATATCCGATTTTGCATACTTGTCTTGCTGAATACATTAGCGAACGCTAAACAGAATCGCTTCTTTTTAACCTCGATACGCGAGTAGGCCAGACTCAGCATATTTTAAGGGGAATGCCAAAAGTACACTTTCTTCAACATGGAGAAAGTACAATAGTTAGGTTGAACTTTTAAGACGTCAGTCCCACGCTGTTAGAATTTTCCCACTGCTGTATATGTGAACATATTACAAACATTTTCGCATAGGCTAAATTACCAACTTGGATACAATGGCGCTTTTATTAGTTCAAGATACTTTATCTCCAGATGACGTCGATATTTAAATTTGCGACAATATGCTTTCTCCCAGCAAAACGTTTTCATCCTCATGTTAATTAAAAATGATAGCAGGTTTTCAAAGTTGGAGTTTTACGCATTAAATTAAACCATACAATTATCCCAATTACTTTATCTTTAGAAACAAAAACGACTTCTTCATTCTCGTACAAAGGGCTGCTGAATGCCGAGGTAACTAGGTTAATCATAAAAAAATAGCCTTTTGGTGAAACACCAACAGGTCACAACACAAGCATCTGTAAACTCATGTAGGAGGAACTTGTAAAAATTAATTGCACGAAACATGTACGTTTTCTTTGGGAATAATCAGAAGCGGTTTGTGTAACTCTGGAAAGCCGACTGATGTAACGCGAATGAAGAATGCGGATTCGAGGATATCTTGAGTTTTCGGATACGAAGTAACCTAGTGATAATTTCGACCCAAGTACATTTGCATTCGTAATTTACCTTAAATTTTGAAAACTTTAAAAGGCATCGCCTTGCACAAATCCGGAATAATACAAGATTGCCGATTCATTATCCATTGGATTTAATTAATAGAAATTTAAGTAAAGAGGCCAGCATGATCAAACCCAATGACTAAACATGAGGAAAATAATTATGCCAAGTCTTTTCAAAAGTGGAAGACCTAGCATTTGGGTTAACGCATTAATATAAGTGGTTGATAGTGTTATTTTTATATACAACCAAAATTAATTCTTCCAAAATTTGCAAAATATTGGTCCAGTAACTATCACGTCAGGGCAATTTTCCAAACAAGTTTCAAATAATACATTGCAAGTGCTGGATGAGGATTTAGCGGGCAGATAAGTTAAAAGCACCTTAGTACAGAATTTGAATATCATTCATAATTTTAGAGTTCTGAGCTTTTAAGCAAAGTAATTGGTGCTAAATAATTCATGTCACCTTTGAAGGTGGAATGCCACTGCAGCCATCTGCCAAAACACGAGGATGGAAATAGTTACTATGGACATAATAAGTAGCAAATTATTGAACAAGGCTATGTCTGCAGAAGAACATTGTACAAAGGTCATTAATGGAACGAAAAACCCTAATGCCAAATCTACTATATCCCCAAACCCTGAAATCTAATCTCCATCTCTAAAAAAACAAGAAATGCGAAGGAGCATGCAAGAAAATGCAAATAGGTTTTTCATGGAAAATGAACAGAACAACTCTATCAAATGCCTCATTTATGTAATCACGCTCCGTTAGTTGCTATGTATTTTTAGGGGGTATTATCCAATTAAAAAGAGGTTTGTCTAAATAAACAGATTTTAATAATCAAACACGCATCTACTCTTATCCACTGCTTGACGTAGTCCTAAAAAGGAGAAATGTATCAGAAGTGTTCGAAGTGGGAAATGTTATTGGCCTAATCAGAGGTGTGACGAAAAGTATAGCGTAAGACTTTAAAAAAGCGCCACATTATTCACCTTTGCAAATCTATTATATGAAATTTAAAAATCATTTTTAACCACATTCAGACCCGGGCTAATGTGTGTATTCGAACTCTTGAGTAGAAGCCCAGTGCCTTGAAGTAATAAAGCACATGGGAGGCACGCTGAATGACTTCACATGATCACGATGATTTTATAGTGCAAAATCCTACACTGTTGAGACATTCATTACCCAAACTAGGAATTAGTGGCTCACCATATTTAATGGCTATTGCAGCCATTTAACTATTTAAGCGTTTGCGCATGCAGTCTGGCCTAATTACATTCTTTGGGCACTTGTTCCGGAAATGATCTTCTGCGCAGGGTTGATTTTAAGGATCATGGATATGACCTCACTCCAAGATAATGACCTCGTAAATCGTGTTAGCGAAGGCCAAGTCTCCTAACTTGAGGGTTTTTCGAGAAAATTGGTTTTTTGATGGGCGACTTCGGTCTAAAGCTGTTTTGTTTTACGCAGGACTTAAGTACAAGTTCCCGAGAGAGATGTTTGGAACCCTTTGTTTGCACGTTGAAGGCTTCTTTGAATAAGAGAACGTTAGATGCTCATGCAAACACCTTTACTGCCTCAGCCGAGAGTAGAAACGGAGCAGTTGAGATAGATAAGTTGAGTTATCAACACTGAGTGATGCGTTGTTATAGTGAACAACGATGAGGCGCGACCACGGAGTTGTATTTGGAAAATTCCCAAATCTTAGGGTTAACTACGTTGTCATGGGGAATATTGACGTCCCCAATAATCCCCATGAAATTTGAGGGTCTACTGGCAAGTGTACATGTGGTCTGAGATTAAACTTCCTTTAAAGAGACTGTCCTACTTCTTTTTCTTTTCTCCGTGTTTGAAGAGATTTTCATTCTTATTATTGAAATCCGGACAACTCCGCAACTCGTAAATTATAAGTCAAGTGTAAAATTAATCCCGAATCCACGAAAACTATAACTCGTTAGATTTAACAAGTCACTCCTATTCAAATAATCGTACTATAAGGCGTCCGAAACAGAACAAAATAGAACTTCACGCTTTAAATGTTCTGACCAGGTTAAGATAATGGCTATCAATTTGCCCACAGAGATGTGTTCAAGGTTGTTCTCGGATTTGTATTATTAATTTTGAGCTGTTCTAGGGTCAGGATATGTTGTTACTACTCAAATTCTTAAATGCCGAATTTTGAGAGTGCCAGTCACAAGTTACATCCCCATTCATGCTGGCACAAAGCTGTTGAACAGATGACTAACCCTCTTCATTTTCTCTGTGTACTCTGTATCATTACTTGCCGCAACAAAGGCAAAATTTGTCTTAATAACGCGAGGTAACCAATAAATGTACATCCCAGTTATTCGGCCAGACTATTCTAAGTCGCTAAATGAAAGCAGCTTGTCACAAGTTTAAGCGCGAGGTTTCTCCTTCCCTATATCTCTATCGAATAATCACAGAATTAGCAGGGAAAGCCTGCCAACAAGCACAGGAGTCTGTAGAGGCTGACACCTCTGCAGCCCTGTCTTCCTTTACCATCTGCAGAAGTGTAAAGCAAAACAGGTGGGGTGGCATGTGTTGTAGTTTATTGGGTCACAGGAAGCATTGGGCATTTTTTTGCGTAAATGCGTGCCGCTCTTGGTACAAATGTAATACGAGGCTAAGAGCCGAAGGAGTCAGGTCAATGCGTGGAACGTCTGCAGTAAATCAAATCATCGAAAATGAGAGAAATTTGCTGTTGGGCAGTTAAGAAAATTCGCAAATTTGCTTAAGGGCATTTCCCGTTTGAGTCCCGCTTAGAACATTTGCTCACAAGCTCTAATCAAATATGTCATTTATCGACATTCGTCTACCAACCATTGAATAGTGACATGCGAAAATTAAAAAAAAAACAAACTGAACTGCATAACATTGCTAATTTGTCGGAAGTGAAAGCATAAATTAGCATCATTTCCATACCTATCTTTACTGTATCTTTACTGGTCCATAATTATTACGGGCTTCTTATCAGCTAGCACATATCATGTTTTAAATTTTGCGACGTGGGAAGGGAAAACATGTGCAAAATTAACCAAAAACTGCTCCAAGGGCAAGTA